CCATCCCCAGAACCATCCCAGGCCAGGCTGGACGGGGCTCTGAGCACCCTGGGCTGGTTAAAGCTGTCCCTGGCACTGCAGGGGCTGGGCTGGGGGGGCTCTGAAGGTCCCTTCCAACCCAAAGCATTCTGTGATTCTAAGACCTCTTCTCTCAAAAAACCACCACCACATCAAAATCAGTTTTACCTTTTTCATGAGCTGTCTAGCTACAAATTTTTGCTTCCAATAGAGAAGGGATATTTATGTCACTATCTTAAGTCATTAAATTCACTGTAGTACCCTGATCCTTCTGTCAACAGTTCTATCAGGATCGACTGAGAATGCTAGAAGCTCTTATGAAACAATAAAAATGTCCTCTGTGAGCACCAGCAGCAACAGGTCTGCATTGATATGGAAAGACAACAGACTCGCTCACGCCCTCAACCCTGCTGGCAGTTACCGTAACTTTCAGGAGCTTGTCAGACTAAAAAGACCGGGCGGGAAGGTGAACTTGAATGTAGATTAATTAACTGGTATGGTTGGCCAAGATTTTCTTTCACTAAAAACATCACATTTTGGCAGACTGGTAGTATTCCTCCCCAAAAAAATCCAAACGCATACACACAAAAGATCTCAGAATCAGGTTTTATATATATATAGTTTCAGCACAGCATAAGGATCTCAGTTTTAACACACCACTATAATTAAAAAACCTCTACATTAAGAGGATAATTGAAAATGCTGTTGCCTAAGCGAAGTGAGTGTTGTAGCCGGCTGTCTGTTTTACTGGACTTTAAAGAGCCACTGAAATTAAATCTTACCAGAAATACCTAATCAATACTAAAATGCATGCAGTTATACAAATCTTTATTAAGTTTCAGAAAGCAAGAACTCTTAACAATCTTTTGACTTAAGCTCTATCTCTAGTCTCAGATCAAGGCATATCAGCTATGGCCATGAATCCACAGGGAGCCTGCATTTGCACATTACTACGCATCCAATAATATCTGCAAAACAATCCAGTCTCGAGCGTCCTTTTGGAAACTAGGAGCAATGCAGATTTTCTGCTGTTCATTATAATGCTATAAAACAACGCTACAAGACCGCAAGTGCTCACTTGCCATCCATAAAGGTCAGAAAATCCCTTCTCACAGCCTCTGCTCACCATACAGGCGGGACAGTTGCTACCACCCTCACCACCCAGGATACCACTGGGACTACCGGTGACAGAATCACTTCTATCCATCACTTCACTAAGTTCTTGTAGTGTTTTTACATCTGTAACATTTCCAGTTATTAATAATACTTTTTTCTACAAATAATGCCTTTGATTTTCTGGTTGTTTCTGTAAACTCATAAGGTAAAAATAATGTACTAAAATCTTTGTACAACTCAGTATTATGGCTCAGGTTGTGTTTCTCCTTTTCAGAACAGCTTTCCACCTCTACAGCAAGCTACCGGCAAAGCAGCTTTACACTGTACAGTTATATAGTATTCCAGATATCACTAACATTATAGTAAAAGATAATTTAGTGAACATTAAATGTAGTATTTTTGCTTGTAAGTACAAGATAGATGTAAGTAACAGCTGCTTGATAAACGTAGGTGTCCTTAAAACCTTTAGGGATCTGGAATTTAGTTAAACATACCAATACTACTACATGTACCTCATTCTTCAAGTAAGAAAGATAGCACAAAACCACTACACTTTTGGAAGACTCAATCCACTCATGTCACAGGCCAGTATTTATTCAGACAAATAGTTTAATAAACATTAAATAGGACAATCAGGCTTTTAAGTTATCTTACAAACAAGAAATTAAAAGTTATAGTAAAAATGCCTCAATTATAGATATTTATGCTCTAATTCTTGTAAAAATAAAACCAGGTAAAACCAGGAATACCCCTTCCTCCTCATAAGGACCTCAAAAACATATCATTAGTTTCTTTCACTGGCACATTGTTGTAAAAACCAAGATATTTGAAACATTTGTACACAATGTGCAACACCCCCCCGCAAATAGTTCTTCTAATTCCATTATACAAAGAAAAATTTAACGTATTTTTACAAAGGTAATTTTTGTGTGAAGAAAAGCACCTTTGACTCTTAAGAGCAACATTTAACTTTTAAGAGCAACTTTAACTTTTAAGAGTAATATCTAAGTTTCTGAGATTCTTAGTTCAAGGGCAAGGCCTTTGGAAAATAAACAGTTATATTGATTGGTTACTATGGAAATGAACCCAGATAACTTCTTGGCAATGGTGCTATGCTACCGGGCACACTGGAGAAAGCTTTCCGTTATGAGTCAGTTTCCTATGAGCCTCACAGTCACTTTACCACATGCAAAGCAAAACCAGTTGTTTTATGAATCAAAATATATCCTAGTTACTAAGATGCGTTCAGATATGTACTAGGTTGGCATGCTTTGGTGGAACTTAACGAAAGCTGTCAGTATGACCTAACCAAGAATAAATTAAATAGACAGATATTTTAACATAAATTGATTCCAAAGTATTGTTTAAGTTACAACCAGTTTAACAAATTAAGTGTTTTTTCTTTAAAGGGACAATTTTCACATTGACTAAATTTCAAATGCAAGATTTCAGCTCTAGACAAGTCTTTTTCTGTATGTATTTTATGTAGTGTACACAATTGCTATTTAGAATGATGAATAGAAGTCTTGTTTTTTCCCTTCTGATCCACAAAAGAGAAAATCAACAGGAACACCAACACAAAAGAAAGAACAAATCCTGATCCAGTCAACTCCTGATCCTAATTTGTTAATAAGCGATGGGCTCTTTTTTTGTGTGTGTTTATGACCAGCAGATTTTTTGTTAATTTCCACATAGATAAAGGATATGAATAATGGCTTGTTTCAGCAAATAGCCACAACTGCAAAAATAAATCACTTTTAAGGACCTTAAGCATCATGGGAAAAAAAAAAATCTCTTCTTGCCAAATGGAAAAGCTTTAGCAGGAGAGGCTTAGAAATAAAGAAGCCAAAACTCCTTATGGGCATTTACGAAAATATTGAGTTCCATTAATTAGAAAATTGTTTAGTCAAGTTTTCATCTGAATTATTCTGGACAGCCAATTATGACATTTAGCCATATGAGCATGATTATGTTAAACGGATTGTTTTTCTAGTGCAATTACTTTGCAAAGAGTGAAGTAAGTGAAGCGAAGAGACAAAAAATTGTGAGCATTTGTTTGCTGTTTTAAGATGCCATTCAGTCTTTATATCAGACTACTTTCACATGCAGCTACTTCTAGAAACGCCTCTGGAATCAATTGGGTCAGTACGCTCCTTGATGCTAAGGGGTGTTTTCTTAGACATCTTACAGCTTTTGTACAGAACATGAGTTACCTACTCACTGTGAATACCTTGAAAGAGTAGCTTTTTCACTCCATGAGATAAATGGGAATATTGTTATCATTGTTATTTTTTAAAACTGGTAATTTGATGGGAGGGTTGCTCTGAACTTCTAAGAATTGTTGAGGTCAGGTTCTTAGGGTCCAAAGTACAGTGAATAAAATGTCTTTAGAAGAGTTATCTTTAAGCGAGTGCAACTTTTGCACCGTTGCCTAAGTTTTGCTTGCTTCTTTTAGGGGACGGTACATCATGTTCATGAGAAGGTGTGAGAGAAGCGAGGATACTGCAGCTCCACTCCCCAGATCCAAGCAGTAGCAAGGCTGAAGGTGTATTCCCAGTAAGCATCCTCAGCACACACAGAGCTGGCCACACAGACGGCAGACATGCAGCACTGGCAGAGACAGCCTGCACCAACAGCCTCACCTCACACCCTCTCTGGCTGAACAGGACAGAGATCTGCTAGCAAGACCATATATACATATGGCTCCCAGGCTACACCACCTGCTTGACAGCCAGTCCAGCTTGATCCCTGACAGCATTTACACACTTGCACACCTGCACTCGCTCCAGGTGCTGGCACCACTGGCACACAGGTCTCTGACTCCTGGTCCCAGCCGGGTGCCTGCTGCTTGGTTCTGCTCCTCTGGTCTCTCCAGTTGCTGGCAGGCAGGCACATGGGTGCTCTGGCACATGATTCCGGGCCGGTTGCTGGCACCAACACACTCTCTCACTCCAGCTGCTGGCACAAGGGACACACAGGCCCCTATGACCCACAGTCCCACTCCCACGGTTGGCACAAGTCCACTCACTCAGGTCTCTCCCACTGCTGGCACCGCGGACACCCAGGCCCTCTGATGCACAGTCTTGACTCCAGCTGCTGGCACTCAGCCCCCCACCCGCAAACAGAGGGCCCTTTGCACAGGAAAGAGTTAGGAAGTGGTTTAATACGAAGGTACCATAGACTGCACTGATTAGAAACAGGGCATGGCCAGACAAATGTACCAACCAGCAAACTATTTACACCTAACGGGCCTTTTTGTTTCCTTACCTCTCTATTGTTCCTCCCCAAATCACCTAAATTAATCCTTTCCCCCACTTGAGTTCCTCCCCTAAACATCCCATAATAAGCCTCTTGCCCTGCATCCCGTAATGCGTCTCATAGCACTGTGCAGCGACCCCCCTCAGCCCAAAAGGTGCTTTAGTGTTAGCTCAACACGATGGGCTTCCTGCCTGGACGATGGGGCTGAGGGGCCCAGGCAGGGTCTCCCCTTGTCCGAGTCCGCAATTTCAGTTCCCCACCTGCCTCCGTGTCCCTGGTCTTGCGTAGATGGGCCTTGGATGGGCTGATGGCTCCTGCGACAGGCCTGGGAGGAGCTGGGGCAGGGTATATTTTAGCTCCCCACCCTCCCCTGCCTTTGTTTCCCACACTCATTTGTGGGTGTGCATATGAACTTTCATGACCTAACCTAACAGCTTCCTTTGATCAACCCTTGGCTGAATAAACTTAATACAGTTAGCTCTGTCCTTCTGATACAAACACAGTGTTCAGCAGATTGGAGTAACACAGAGTTATTTTTAGTTTAGGAAAGTCTTTTAAAAAGGGAACAATATCCCATTCATATATATAATATATATACACACACACTTTTTTGTACATACATATAAAACCAAACATCTTTCTTCTGCAAAATGCCAGAGCACCTAACGAAGAACGCCAATGTCATGATCCCACGCTACTGAGACAGGAATTAAGACATTAGCCTATAATCTAGCAGTTTATCAACCACACTTTCAGTGCTCTCAGCAGTTCAGGTACTTTACAGTAAGATTTGACCTTTGCTAGGCTATCTTTAGCATTAGGAAGGTATTGTTGGATATAGAGTTCTCATTTATACTAGGGAACACATACTGGTTTGGCATGCAAGAGAAGAATACCCTCTTGCACCCCTCTTACCCAAAATCTACTTCCATCTCAAACTTGTGCAGTCTCACAGTTGAGGGAAAGATACAGGTACCTGCGCAGCAGGCTCCCAGAGCAACTGAGCCACTGTCTTAAAGCATTGTGCGCTACTGTTCAGGCTCCTGAGATCTGTCAAGTAGCTTGGTATTTGTAAAGCTAAAATCCTCAGAAGAAAATTACTCTTACTACACAGAAATGCAGTCGTCTTGTTTGGTTTAAATCCACAGAGCTGAAGTGTCAAACAATATGGTTTACTCATTGTCACAAGCAAAAATATAAACAAGATCACCCAAAGAGATCCTTCACTTTCAAATTAAACTGAAAACCTTACTGCTAAGTTGATAATGGGAGTAGAAACAAACACAAATAGACAAATATGAAATTAACACAGGTATTTCAAAGCAAATAAAGACATCTAGCACCAACACCAGTACCAATTTTGTTCAAATGTATTCTATGCATCTAATACACATAACCTAATACACGTAACACACATGCTGCCCATGCATGTACCAATTCCAACCTCACCATCTTTAAAGAATGTTGAGCTACAAAGGAGCAAAAAAATATTCAATATAACTTTTCAAATATGAAGCTCTACTTGAAATTGTTATTTGATAACCAAAATGCTGAATTTAGCCTTCATATAGAAAGATGCATCTCAAAGTTAGAGCTCAGAGCATGATGTCCAAAGTATACACTGTAGTAATAAACTTATGCAAAGCTTCAATTTATTTCTTATACTCAGGAAGAAATACAGTTTACTTTTCCTTTAATATTCTGTGTTTCCTCCATGCCTGAGTCATATAAGACGACACATTCTCTCCAACAAAAACATTTCTTTCCTAAGCATTGCAAATAAACTGGACAAAACTAGTCATTTATAAACAGAGCTTCAATGTTTCACAGATTTCGGCACTAAGCAAACCAGCAAACAGCTGGCTCTGCAGGAAGAGCTCCACTTGTTTACAGTGCACAATTCCCCAGTTAATTTGCTGTTAGTACATACAAAACTTTAACAGAGCAATAATTTTCTATTCCATGTGTTTTTACTTACAATAAACAGGTTAAATCTTTAACTAGCAACATTTTATGTCATGTATTTCTTATATGTATAAACTGATCATCACATAGAAATAAAGCTGCTTTGGAATACTTTTACTTACGAAAAACTGCTGGTTACAGGCAAATGCAGGGACCTAAAAGGGAATTAGCACTGTGAAGGGCAAACTGCAGTAGCAAGACTGTAGCCAGCAGCTTGAGGAAGTGATTGCTCCCCTCTGTTGAACATTTGAGAGGCTGCATCTGCGGCACTGCGTCTGTTTTTGGGGCCTGCTCAGTAGAAGACAATAATAAACTGAAGCAAGTCCAGGGGGTGTGAGATGAAGGTCTGGAGTCGGGGATGAGGAAGATGAAGCACCTGATGCAGAAGTTGGGAACATGGGGTTTTTACAATCTGAAGAAGAGGTGAAGGAAGATCTAATTGCTGTCTTCAGCCATCTCTATTGAGTTAGAGAAGATAGAGCCAGAGGTTTCTTAGTGGGGAGCAGAGGAAGGAAAAGCAATAACAAGAGAAATTCCAACAAAATAAGGGCAAAAGCTTTCACAATAAGAGTGGTGAAGCAGAGGGACAGGTTGTCTACAAAGGCTGGAATCCCCATTCTTACAGATTTTCTAAAGCTGACAGGACAAAGCTCTGAGCTTCCTGATGTAATTGAAGTTAGTCTTGCTTTGAGCAGGAAGTTGGACTACATGATCTCTAGCAATCCCCTCCACCCTAAATTACTCCATGAATACAGATAGTCCTTAAAATATGAAGGCAATCAGGTGCTTGCAAATGGCAAGTTTATGACAGCAAAATACTGTGCTCCACGTACTGTGCTGGGGTTGGGGGGAACGGATGGACGACCCACAAACCCAAAACAACACCACAACAACATCACCGGCTCTTTTAAACCAAAGTGCCTATTCTCCTGCACAAGGCAGACATAGTAAGCATAACCTCCTCTTTAAGAGATGCACATCATCTATCTCTTTTCAGGAACTTTTTCCTGAAAAGCTAGCTGTTGCTCTACCTCTTACCAGTACTTAGAGTAAGACAAGTCTCACAAGAATGAACCCTTTTCATAATTGCAATAAGCAGTTACATCCCATGCAAAATGCCATCTGGAGAAACATTTTCTTAATCTCATACTGTAGCCCAAAGATGACTCTTCAGATCTGATTTTATTTTCTTTAGTCCGTCAATTAATTCTTTGATTTCCCTCCAATCTATTTCAGAGATTTGATTTCTTCGTCACTCTTATTTCCACACTGTTACTCTTCCACCTTTATACATGAACTCTCCTGTTAATATTTTAGCCTTCATTTCTTCCCCTTCAGCCCTGTCCAGAATATCCATACCAATCCTTGTACACCACATTCCTCAAGCATATTCTCTAAATCTGTTGTCTAAACCCATTTCATTGTAACTATTAATGAAAGGCTGAAGAGGTACAAAGAAACTACATTTAAAAAAAAAAAAAAAATTATAATTCCTGTAGAGAACTTCCCCTTCTTACCTCTTCCTCTCTAGAGATGGACAGGGCCCGGCAGCTCAACCAACAGTCTCTTCACAACTGAGGAAAGGCTAAGTGGACGTTCGGGAATCTGAAAAGAACAGCTACAAAATTGCAAGCCAGGATTTTTATCCCACCACCAATTTGCCTCACAGCACTTGAAAATTTATTTTGTTTCAGTTTATCCAACTGCAAATCCAGTTACAGCTGAAAAGCTATTAGAAGTAGCATTATCCATTACCAGCTCTGAAGACTGTCAACAGGATTCATACATCATGCAGGAAGATGAGAGCGAGAGGGACAGTAATTCCATGTGACAGGTATGTTTTTCTAACAAGTACTTTTGTTTAAAAACAGAAAGCTGGTTAAACTGTGTTACTATCAGGAGAAATTTCCCTTTTCAAATGCAATAGAAGCAGCAGGGAAAACAATGGTTAAAAAGCAATTTGAAGAGTCCAGTGAGGCAGAAAATGTACTTGCTGGAGTCACAAAAACCAGATGCAGTTTTACGCAGTTGAGAAGGAGGTAGCCACGCATCACTAGAAGTAAGAAGTACTTATTATCTAGAAGATAAGAAATCAATTTCTACAGAAGACTATTACATCCTCTAGCCTGTATCTATTCGGAATAAGAATATATTAATGGAAGTAATGCAAGGTGTCTGAGACTGCCTCTCAGTACTCAAGAGTGTGCTGTACTTATAAAAAAAAAAAAAGAAAACAAACAACAACCCACTTCCCTAGAACCTGTTGGGGAAGAAAATGTTTTGATGAAAAAGTTATAGTTCTCAGCCGCCCCTAATCTCTCTCTGTCACATAGATACCGACCATAATCAGCTTCTTAGTTTTGAATGTTGTTTTGTAAAAGAAGGGAGAGAGAAACATCAGCAGTCCAAAGTGCCAGAAATCAGGGGAATATGACCAAACTGAAGATTGCAGTCATAAGAACACACCAATGAAGAAGTCCTTTCCTTGAGCGGGGTGCGGGTAGAAATCGAGCTAAAAAGTAACTACCAGGCTTACAGCTCCTGTAGCCTCAATCTATACAGCAGTGTTGAAAGTACACCCTCAAGAAATAAGATCCTTTACGTTCCAAGACTTCTTTGATTTCCTCAGATCCCATCTGTTCTTTTGCTGCTGGTTGAGCAGCCTGTGAGCAGTTATGTACTCTAGGG